CGAATTTATTAAAAAAAAAAAGAGCCGGGAAAATCAGTAAAATTTTTCCGAGGGGGGGGGCCCGGGTGGGCCTCAACTTAGCACGGGGCCGGGAAAAAAAAGAAAAAAAGGGATTTTTGGGTTCCAAGTGTCCTTTTTAAAAAAACCCGCCGGGGAGAGGTTTAAAACCAAAACCCTTCCACAAAGGCGGGCAAACCTCCCCCCCCCCCCCCCCCCCCTAAAGATTCTATTAATTAATTGATATTTTGAAAAATGAATCAGTTGTTCGTTCCTGTAACTAGCGACAAATTTAAATCGGCATTCCTGCAAGCGTAACAATCAAGCAGTGAGTATTGTACGAGAACTTTTCTGTATTTGGTCGGATTGAAAATCTTTGAATGGATTCAATTTCTTAGTAAGACATTTACATCAAATTCAGGGAAACTTAGCTGGTTGAAATTTCGTAACTGCCCCGCGTGTGAATTCACGCCTTATCAAGAATGCAGAGATGAACCTGAAATCTAGCCAACGGATTCAACTTTCGAATAATAAATTCATTATGGAATCTTGGGGGGTACGCTTGACCTGGCTTGACGGTAAGCTACGGTAATAACCCGAACTGTGCCATCAAAATCGCTGTTACAATTTCAAAAACCACAAAAGCGGCTCTTTTTACCTTTGTTCAGGTGGCCAGCGAAATTGCCGCCACCTTTAATATAATCGCTATATTATGCGCAGTAGGCGATGCGCGGTGCACGCTAGGAAATCACGAAAGAACTCGGCCACGAATATGATCCCCATACCCCACTATAAGGTTACGCCTTTATACGGCCAAATTCGTTGTACGTGCATCAATAGAAAAATTGATACAGGGTATGAAACTTAGACCTTTCATGCCATGCTTCTACGCGACAGTGGGGTGCGCCTCTTCGAACCGAGGCGAGTTGAATAAGATTTTTGCTTTTTCACGTTTCTGCTGTTAGCTGGGAGCCCTGGAAATAGTAAACTCTGAAATGCTGCAGGCTATAAACTAGAATACAGCTTGCGAAATTGACCATATATTACAGACGATTATTAGCCTTTTTAAATAGAGACCGTAAAAGCTCCTGTACTTCACTAACTGTACATGTGACGACATAGAAAGATTCTGTCCAAAGAACGAAAATGGTCAGTTATTGGCAGTCGAGGTGCTTAAATAATTTGTTCAGAAAAGAAAAGTTCATTTGTTAGCTTATTTTGGCGTATTTCACACCACAGATTTTAAACACTTTACGAGTCTTCACTATCTTTAAACAAAATTAACTTTGGTGTAGCTTGAGATTCTCTTTCCTTTCTCTCCTAAGGAATGTTTTCGATTTAGCCGATTTCTGTATTTTTGGATTAGTCTGTAATGTAACGTCAATAAATTTAAAGTATACAAAAAAGCATTCCTTGTCTTTATCAGTCTAACTTGTTCTTTTTTATGCTTTAAATAACTTGCGTTAAGTGATTTAAATTGCATTGTCCTAAAAGAACAGTCATGTTATCCTTTTTGTTCCTACTAGGAGCCAACAATTTCAAATCAAAAAGTGAATTGTTTGTATTTGTGAATTAAAATGTTGACTAGTTGCTGATGCTTTTCATATAATATCCCTGTTTTTTATTGTGTACGTCTTTGTACCCTTGCTGTGTATTTTGCAACAACTGGAATTACAACCAATCAGATTTCTTTGATTTGGACAAGCTGACTGATTCTTGATTGATTCTTGATGATTGATTCTTTTTTAAGCTTGCAGGCTGTGCAGAGGGCCATTTTATGCTCTCGCCAACCCCAGTAAGTTATTGTGCGTTTTCCTATTTCCCTTTGACCTTCTAAATTCAGCTTTGAATGGCTCCAGCAACGAGTACAGTTTTGTTCTTATGGGAAGTAAAACTCTAACCGACAGTTTTCTTTTTTTGAGTTCTCAGCAACAGAGCGACTTTCTGAGTGTTCAAGTTCGGGCATAGATCGACATGAAAAGCGAACTGCACCTTTGCCTTGTTTTCTCTGTTTTTCTGACCACTTTACCACAACTTGATGGTACTGCTATACCCAACTCTAAGCAAGAAAGAAAAAAGGTTTTAATCCTGGGAGCAGGAGCTGCAGGGATCACCGCAGCTATGACCCTTTACGATCAAGGCATCACAGATTTTCTTGTATTGGAGGCTCAAGACTACATAGGTGGCCGAATAAAGTCAGTGCCCTTTGCTGGCAAGAATATCGAGGAAGGAGCAAACTGGATTCATTTCGTGGAAGAAAAGGAAAATCCTCTTCTACCTTTACGCGACAAGTACAACTTAACAGGATATTTGTCTAATTTTAGCGACTTTTGTATGAAGTGAGTTTAATACTCGGAGAACTTAAACAAAACGGTGTCAACAAGAACTTCGGTTTTTTATGACAGATGAAGAAATAATCACATCCACCGCTTTTTTCTCTGTTTAACCCATAGGGTGTGCCAAAAACAAAAAAAAAATACCACAGTAAGAAATATCCTTTTTTACATGAGCTCTAATTGTAACATTTTCTTGGTAACTTATTCATTTATTTATTTATCGCGCGTTAATGACAGTTGTATCAGCTGTCGAATGCATCTTTTCATTCACGATAGCATAAAGAGCTAGTCAGATAAAACGCCCGAAACTATCCTATACTAAAAACAGAAATCTTGTTTAGCACTGAGATTCGACCTCTTTTCCAACAAGTTTATATACCCTGAATATTTGAAAATCAGAGACCCCTTTCCGAACAAAACCAAAGATAAATTAAAGAATTTCAAAGCAAATATCCTGTTCGATTTAGTTTTTCGGGTCTCTAGTCACCTTATCTAATATTTGTGGGACAAACGATCATATTTACACTGAGCCTGGTTACCAAAATACTGGTTGGTTACAAGTCGTACTTGCAAAAAATGCCTTTTTTTAATTAGCAGGGCCATTTGATGGGCGCGGTGGGGCGGTGGGGGGGGGGGGGGGGGGGGGGGGGGGTCGTACTTGCAAAAAATGCCTTTTTTTAATTAGCAGGGCCATTTGATGGGCGCGGTGGGGCGGTGGGGGGGGGGAGGGTGGGGGGGGGTGTGAGGGTGGTGGGGGGAAGCGCATCACCGGAGTAGATTACCTAAAATTTATGGTATTTACTGGGCATTCGTTTGAATTTGAATTTTGATAAGACAATGCTTATATACATGCTACCTGAATTCTGCTTTTCTTGGAAACGATTCGAATTTATGTTTTTGCTATGTATTTTACAATCCGTTTGCTTCTGGAGCCTAGTCGTTCTGGCTAAAAATACAGTTTTGTACCTTTGATACGTTTTTTTAAAAGGTAGCCCCCAAGCGGATATGGAAAAATAAAGTGCATCGTTATTCAGAAAAAGGTGTGATCGAAAATACGAGGAGCATTTGTCTAATTTATGTACAATGCATAAATTATAGCCTACGACTTAAATAGCAATTTCTAAAAGAAGGTTATAAAGTGCATCTGTGCACCTTCTTTAAGAAATCGTTAGTTAAATCATAGTGTATAATGTATGCAGTGTACAAAAGTAAGACAAATGCTCCGTGAATATGTGACAACCTACTCATTATGAAATGACTCCTGGGCTCAAACCTTTCACGGTTTCACAGTATTAACTAAGTTACTAGCTTTTGTGCCTTGATTCAGTTTGGTTTGATTTGAATCAAAATATTCCGACGTCAGATTATGTTTACGAGAGCATCATCTCATGTAGGTTGTCAAATCTCGCTCCTTATAACCCGCCTTTGTAAATACCCCTAGTCTATGATTTAAAAAAAAGCCTAGCAACTCCTGTCAGTGTGACAGAGTAGCCACTAATACGTCCATCCGAAGACACGACAAATAAAGAAGTCAATCATGTTAGAAACGACTCAAGCAAAACACATGGTTGAGTCAGCGTTGCAATGGTCTGCTGTATTGCACCGAAGCGAGGCAAAATGTCCTTCTAACATCTGGCGAGGTTTAAACTGGTATCTAAGTGAAACTTCTTTTTCTCAAATGCATGCAACGCGTGATACTGAGGAAATACCATGTGCATGTTTATTGTTCATTATGTTCATTTTTGAAATAGCTTTCGAAACGTCATCAGTTTCTTTAATCTTTTTAAGCGTATGACCAAGTTACTTTATTAACTCAGAATTGATAAAATCAAATTTATGTGTTTCATTCCCTCACTGACGCAGCCCACAAATTCAGAAATAAACTAAATAATCGTTAATAAAAGGCGTGTACAGTTGATAGATTGCAGGTAGAATTCGTTTTCAGGTTAATCTAAATATTTAAATCGGACTCTTGCCCCCAGAAGACACGTGGTATGGTGTGATTCCATGGGTGTTGTGAGTTCTGGGTCAGGGCTTTAAATCAGAGTGCGCGGATATTTTTTATCAGAGTTTTCTCTGGATGATGCGCCATACTGACGAGCCCCGAAAAGTGCGAAACAGCTGTCTATGGCTACAATCCCGCTCTGATTTGATTTTTTTCGGTGTCGTGTTGATGACGATTTGCAGAGTTAATTTTCACGTAGTACGATCAGCATTGCAGTATTCTGCTTACAGAATTTAATATGTCTACATTATTATTTTTGCTGATCAGGTCTTTGTGATTCTACGTACGTTCTTCGGCATATTCGTTTGAGGGTCCTTTGCAGTCCTTTGTGGTTAATGTTTGTAATCTACATATTGTAGTATTCACCCTAGTTTAATTCTAGCCCGAGAAAACAGACGACATTTCGCGACGCCACCAAAGGTTTCCCCAGCGCGAATTGTCGTCTGAGAAACGGGCGCAAAAATTCCATACTGATGACGCGTCACTACCCATATCTGGGTAGTGACGCGTCATCAGTATGGAACTTCTGCGTTCGTTTCTCAGACGTCATTTCGCGCTGGGAAAACCGTTGCTGGCGTCGCAAAATGTCGTCTGTTTTTTCAGGCTAGTTCAATTCAGGATTTCCTTGATTTCCTAGCCCTACCATGATTCTTACTATACAAGACAAAGGAAATACTGGAGCGGATTATAGTAGCAACAAACAGTTCTACAATTGATTTTGCACATTTTCTTGTTATGTCAAGGTGTCTTTTTTTCACAGAAACGACTCCGGCGAAGATGTAACTGATCTGCGTACGTACAGTGAATGGAAGAAAGTAAGCGAAAAGTTATTTGCGATGGGTGAGAAAAGGGGAGAGGAAGATCATCCTCCCAGAGATATGCCGGTCTCGGTTGCGCTGAAGCTTCTGGGTTGGATATCAGACACTCCAGCAAAGAAAACATTGTCTTGGTTTGACCTCGATTTTGAATATGGTGATGGCGAGAAAGGAACTTCTCTGAACAACATGGGATTTCCTCCTGAGAAGGATTTCTTCGTCACTGATCAAAGAGGCTACTGGACGCTGTTCAGTGAGTTTTACAAGTCTTTCCAAGACAAAATCTTGCTGAACAAGGTTGTTCAGAAGATTCGGTATTCTAATGACAGCGTTACAGTTGTTACAGCTAGCGGAGAAGTCTTCAGTGCAGACTACGCTTTGTCCACGTTTAGTTCTGGCGTTCTTGGCAGCAGTTTTATAATGTTCAGACCCCCCTTACCTAAGTGGAAGAGAGAAGCAATTTATCGTTTTAGACCTGTTTACTTCACAAAGATTTTCCTGAAGTTCCCATATGACTTCTGGGATGATCATGAATGGATTATGCATGCCTCCCAAAAACCAGGCAATTTTCCAACTTTCTTCGACCTGAATCGACCAGGATTCTCTCCAGGCTCCAACCTTCTTTTCACAGTGGTAACTGGAGATGAAGCACTGAGAATAGAAAAGCAAAGCGATTTGGAAACAAAGAAAGACGTGATGGATACCCTACGAAAAATGTATGGAAACACGATACCGGAAGCGATTGGTAAGTAGCGTCCTTTTAGTCCTTTCTCTCACTTCAGGTAAACTACCTGAAGATCAAAATAAGATAATCTTAATTTATTTCAAACATCTATTGAACTACATGTTCTATTGTATGTCGCACTATATGTTCTTTAGTTTGCTGGTGGCAGTCTCAGCCAGGCTTTTAAAACAACCTGTCTGCGAATGCCCTTATCAGAGTCGACAGAGTCGAATGAACCGTGAAACATGAGTGAATGCTGGGTCACTCAGGTTATTGATGAGTAACTGATCAATAGATGGGTCAATAAAGTCTTGGTATTATTTCATCTGTCACTTGTGAAGCCATGATATTTGTTAAGTTTTCGTTAATCAACTTTGTAGATACTCTTTACGTTATCTCTTTAAAACGAAACAAGGCAAGCGAAAAGTAAACAAGGAGAAAAGTTCTACCTCAGAAGAACTTAACCACCAGTTGTTCTAAAAGTTGTTAATTGTTATCATTATTATTATTATTATTATTATTATCATCATCATCATCATCATTATTATTACTAATATCATTATTACTATTATAATCATTTATTTTGATAAATTATTTTAACATTTATTTATTATTGATACTTTTTTTACCTGACGTACTGTATCCAGGAGCCGATTACTTTAGTAGATTAGTAATCGGCTCCTGCTGTATCCTAATCCTTTCATTCAATGTTTATTGGTTGTAAAGAATTATGAGGCTTCACCGAAGAACCTCGTGTTTGCCTTGAAGTCCACAGTGTATCGTTCACCTTATAAGAAGTGTTCCTTTAGTATTTCTTTACATTTCTTACGTCACCATTAGATATCCACGTCAGCAAATGGTCACAGAACCCATTCGTGCGCTGTGCATGGACGGATCCTGTGGTGGGAACGAGCTGGGGACACTACGAAAACATGTCTGGTCGACTTAAGAATCTTTTTTTCGCCGGTGAGAGCATCAGTGATGAATATTATGGCTACGTACAGGGAGCGTACTTTACTGGGCGCGATAAAGCTGCTGAGATCGCCAACTGCATCAAGGGAGGAGCGTGTAAAGCATACAAGCCCGCCAAAGAAGAAATATGACTTAAAGGGGAAATAATATATTAATCAATAATGTAATAACGTTGGTGACGGTATCTATAGATACATTGTAGTTGTATCGGTTGAATTGTCACGTAAAATTGATGAATTATCATGGTTTGTTAGTTTCTTGCATCGTTAAGGCATATAGTTTAAGTGAAGGGCTGATTTTCCCCGTCATGTACAAAAAACGTAATCATAATAAAAATTCGTACTCACTAAATGGATTTAATTTTGCCGGTCTCTACTCAACCACTGCTAAACCAGACCTGAGCGATATTTGAGCAAATTTTTGCTTGCGAGGAAAAGAACCGTTATGTTATTCTCACTTAATTTTGCGAGTATTAAATTTCGCCATTTTCGCTATGTGGGAAAAATCACTTATATAATACTCACCAAATATGGCTCTGAGTTCCGAAACGCGAAATTACGTGCAGTCTTCATTTTTCTGTACCACGAAAATTTAGGATACAAAGGAATGTTAAGTGTAGCATATATTTTACAAATAGCGATGTATTTGTTTGTTTAATTTGGCTATGTTTTTGAGCAGGAGGTCGGCTATTTCTGCACTGTAACATAAAAATTGTCTGCAGTTTTCTCCAGCTCCCCAGAGCTGGAGACCATTTGGTTCGGTACATAAGAAGTTATGCATCTGAGTCAAAGCCGTTCCAAGGTCGAAATGAAAAAAAAAAAAAAAAAAAGGAGGAACGGTTTAAAACAGGCCTTCCTAATTAACAGTTCAGACGCCGAAATTTTCATGTACTTAATTCAACGCCTTAGGTTCGGCTCATGAAAAGATCGGCGTCTGAACGGGGCCTAAGATGTACAGGGGAACCTTGACACCAGGAAGTGACAAGGGATTGGCAAAATTTGTTCGCTATAATAGGGTTTCGTTATATCAAGGTACTTTTCCATAATCATAGAGCGGTTTTCATTTGAGTGTCGAAAAGTAATTGGTTTTGCACTTTCTACACGATGCGATTGGCTTAAAAGATTCGCGCCACCTTTTCATCCAATCAGAAGTAAAACCAAAGCCAATTGTGACGTTTTGCGTCAGCCACATGTAATTACTTCGAGTTTTGATTGGTTCAATGTATTGTCTGTGTCCTATGTGATTGGCCAGAGTAATTACTTTGGTTTTGGTTTTACGACACTCAAACGAAAACCACTCTATTTTACTATTACAGGAATGAACAAAATCGTTCGTCATACCGGGGACTTTATTATATGGAGCTTCGTTATATCGAGGTTTCACTGTAGTTCAATCAGATTATTCCTTCCAAACGTATCCCGATACTTTTTCCGTCCATACATAAACGGCATTTTCCCGCTCCTAAAACGCAGGTTTTTAAACACGGTCTCTAGAGAGAATTTTTGAAAATGGCGGTTTCTCGCTTACGTGTTGAAGGACGGAAACGGAGTTTTTCGAATACTTTGATGTCATACATCATTCTCGTCCCCAGAGCCACTCGGCTTAATTTATCACCGATCACGACCACGTGACCAAGAAACCACGGGCTCTGGAACCAAGAATGGTCATACGTCATAAAATACCAGCATTACGCATGCTCTTCGTATTGCCATCGTTTTCTTAGCGTTCTTATGTGGACGGACGTAAACGATTTAAATATGCTGCGTGTGGACAAGAGATACGCTCAAACAAACTTTCGCTATTCTCTTGACAAGAACTGATAAATGAAACATTTTATTCTTGAGCATTGTTAAGGAGCTTAAACAAAGGCGTTTTTGAGCCGGAAAGGCAGCAACCGGAGGTGGATTTTTGCATTCTCGTGCAGTACTTCCACACAAATATTTTGGGCAAATGGTATTAACACTAAAGACACTGAGCAATACAGATGTGGTAGCATCAAGGCATAACAAAAAAACCGCCTCACTTCCGATTACCTTGCATCGCTCAAAAACACTTTGCTTAATCTACAATTGAGGCGAACAACAGAACTTGGTACTGTGTGAAAAAGCCCTTCCAAGTGATTGTTACATACAAGTTGAACTCCTAATGACATTTTTTGGATCGGCTTTGGGGTCATCCCGTCGTCGCCCTACTCTCCCCCAGCAATGTTGTGGCCAAAAAAGCAGTCATTTTCACCCATGGTGCTCAAAATTCATCTTTGTTCGAGGTGGGAGGGGAGGGGTCGCTACTTTTACTAATAACAATGGAAAGGTCCCAACACTTTTGACCTCCATTGTACTAAGTAAAATCTTTATGCAAATTGAAAAAAAAAAAAAAAAAAAATCGAAAAAAAAATCGAAAAAAAGCCGGCCATTCTTTTTTTTAAAATTTTATCTCAATGAAATTTATTTTTGAGATCCTTGTTCCATTTGGCTTCCTGTATTTCACAATATGCAACGAAAGGTAGCCCGAAATTCATCCGATTACTTCGAGTCGTTTTCTCCTCTCAACAACGTCTGAATCGACCGGCCGTTAATGCCGTCCAGTGACGTCACTCACAACCCGACGGACGGCACTAACGGCCGGTCGATTCAGACGTTACTGAGGGAGTAATAACGACCCGAAGTAATCGGATGAAATTCAGGCTACAACGCAAGGCTGAAAACTATAATATTTTAGTATTTACCAAATCAGTGAATAGCAATTCTCGCGCGTTTTGATTGGGTCCCCGTAATTCGGAATATCCTTTGCTCTTCATTTTTTTGCGACCGGAGCCAAGATGGCGTTTCCTTTCGAGACATTTTCGGAAAAGACGAAATTTGAGCGATAAATAAAGCAGTCGTACAAACAAATACCAAGAAAGCGACAAACTTTGGCTTGTCGGTGTCAGCTAAAAAATTATTTTCATGCTAAATTTGCCACAAATGGTAAAAATGCTCTTGACAAAATCCCCAAAATGTTTTTAACAAGTTCCAACTAAGTGACGTTTTAAATTTACAAAAAGTAACTTTTTTTCATTTTTATCCAACTGATTTGGTAGATACTAAACAACTATCCTCCTCAGGGTCGGTGAGCAGCGATTCACCTCGAGGCTTTGCGTCTCGGTATATAGTACCACTATCCACCCCTCCTTCGGGGGATAGTTGTATTCTATTAGATACATTGTATATACAGTACACTCCGATTCCTAATTCTGTTAATCACCAATTCTTAGTCACTAAAGCAAAATTCTAAAATAACCAACAGCTGTCACTCTAAACTTTTTTGTCTCCATTACGGAACAAGCAACACAAATAAACAAACTCCAAACATTATCTTTACAGTCCACTCAAAAGGGCAGAAAAAATTTCCAGTTAACAGCATGGATAATAGAAAGACTGGATAGGAAACTTGTGTCACATGGGCTGACTTCTTATCACCGATTGATTGTTTCGTGCTCCAAGATGGCGTTGGATAGCTCCATCATAGTTGAAATTTGTGACGAAACGATGGCGAAAAAGTGGCGTAAACCAGTCGAAATGTAGGGTTTGTTTGCCTGCGTGTTGTTCTTTTACGGAATTTTTAGTGCTGCTTTAATTTCTGGTGTATGTTTTTCCCTTCGTTTGTTGTCTGACCGCGATGGCGACCCTTCAAAGCCACACTTGAACCTTCGAGGTAAGCAGTCTTTCTATTATCCATGTCAACAGCAAGGAAAGAAATGCAAAAGAAGGGCAGAAGCTGGTAGAAGTGGTAACGGAAAAATCCCTTTCCTCTTCCGCCGACTATTGCATTTCCCTTACCGTTCGCGTTACCCGCTCCCTAGAAAAAAACCGCCTGAACGCAGGTGAAATTATTCACAAAGCCATATTGCAAATTATTTTTCTTAACAACTACATTCGTTTTTTAACATATCCAATTATTTTCAGTTTCTAAAAAATTTACACCTGTTCTATTTAAATAAACACTAATAAACGTAAGTGGAGTTTGCACTTTTCATTGAAGGCATAGCCTCCTCTACGTTGGTTTCTAGTTTCCTGTAGCCTCGCCTTCTACCGTTGTTATTTTGGCCCTCAATTATGATCGCAACAATCTGTGAAAGGATACAAGAAATTTTCAGACTGTTGAAACTCTTTTCACAAAATAGAAAAGAATAAAATAAAAAAATAATAATAATAAATAGAGACATCGTTACGATACGTACACCTGCACTTGTCTAGCTATTACGCCTTCTCAACACAACTTATAGATGTAGCCAGGCAACGGTACGTGACAAAACTAAGAGCTCAGTTGGTGAGAAACACTTTGCAGGACAGCCGACAGCTACTTTGCTTAATTTAAGATCTTTCACTGTTATGCAGTAAGGCCGAGGGTTCTTGAAGGGTTCGAATCTTGAAATCTGATTTTTTTTAAAGGTTTTCTTTGCAATACTGTACAGTTACGTCTATTAATATCTCCCTTACATTCAAAATGATACTCATTTATTCCAAACCAAATGGTCACTGGGGCATTCCTTTGAAGAAGAACCCTCTAAAACTTCAGTAGGTGTTGATCCATGAGTCCCTCATTAGCCAATTCCCAGAATAAACCCTGCATAATTATGTACCGTTTAAAGACAACCCAATATTGGAGTTAACCTGGCTTCCAAACACTCGGCCTAGACATTGTTTGCAGAAATAGCATTGACCTTGTTCACAATTTTCCTTTTTCTATTATTTGAAAAATTATCAATATGAATTAACAATTAATTGATTAGTAACGATAACAAAGATATCACCAATAGCCCGTTCATCACATTGCCATATAGCCTGCAAGAAAGCACTCCATTTGGGGGAGTCGCGAGAAGTCACGCGAGAGCAAAAACGGGAAAGGAGAAGCGAGTGCGAGGGGCGCACTCGCGACTCGTTGTGCTCGCCATAAATGGAGAGCTTGCTAACAGAATAATCCTCATACCTTCTGCCTGTTGTGATACACCACATAAGCAGCAAATACCATTACAATAGCAGTCAAGAAAAAGGCAGCAAAGTGGCTGGACGTGTG